GTGTGCCAGGACTGCTCTTAGATTACAGAGCAAGCCATGTTTCTGCAGTGCTGCTTCTCAACACAGAAAGATCTGCCTCAATTGGCTCAGAAATTGTTAATTCCTTTCCTYGTGTTTCATGTCTAGTTAGCTACTAGTATTTTAATGCCTGGCAAGTCCTCCTCAACTACATCTCCTGCCAGTTACCTTGTCTCTTCTTCCCTTGCCAAACTTTTCCTGCTACCTTCTGTTCCTTTTTCGAGCAACTCTCAGCCTCTTCTGGTATTTCATGTTCTCAATCCTTTACTCCTCAGTAAGTCTCAAGATATCACTGTGCCTTTTCAGATATCCTTGGTCTTTTCAAGTCTTTGTTTTGGTGGCAGACAAATCTAAAGATTTTAAAGTGGAAAGTAAATTGAAAGTACTGTCTACATCTTTCTGGATCTACTATTTAGAACACTTCTCTGTAAATACTACTGTGCTGTACTGAGGGTCAGTGTTGGAAAAGAAAGGTTTTGCACTTTCCTTGAATGAAAAGGTTAAATAGAGGCTGTGTCTTTTACATAAAAGGTGAAAAACTTCTCTGATTTGTTTTTTATTTTATCAAAAGCTTATGGAACCTGTTGATAGTGCTGTACAACTTAATAACGACTCTAGGTGGCCTCCATTTTTTAGAACAAAGCTCTGTTTTCTTTGTGTAATTCCATTGAATTGATATTTGGGATAAAGCATGACCATTTCTTGTCATATTGAGTCTCCTAGATTTTACTCATTATCATCTGTTTCAGAAATACACTTTTGTTGCTTAATAGTGAAACAGCCAGCAGAGGAGTTCATCTTCTGTCTCTTGCAGCATTAGAAATTTAAGGTACCAAGTTTTGTGGTTCTGCTTGCTCACTTCATAAACCTTAAACCGCTACTTTGGATAAGCAAGTAGAAGTAAAGAGCTTAACCTGCCCCGTTCCCTGCTCCTCTGGCCAGTCTGTCTTACTCTGCCATCCCAGCCACATAATCAGCTACCCCAAAAATTCCATTTTGAAGGATGAAAATTGAATCCCCACAATCCCAACAAATTAGCACAGTTCCTCTAAAGTAAAAACCATAAATGTCCTAAACATGTTCTTAGTGAGCAGAACCATTAGATTTCTTCATTGCATCTCAAATAAAGAATGACAACCTTTCAGCTAAGTACAGCGTCCCTCATGTAAGTTTCTGCTTTTAATGATGACATAAATGTCCGCCAAGAAAGATAATTGCCAGTGAAAAAGAAGATTGTCCCTCTTGAGAGATGAAGATAAGAAAGTGGGTTGTTTGATTTCCTGGTATTCACTTTTGGCAGCTGTGAATCAGGAGACTTGTGTATTCTAATATASCAGTGTGCAGATGCAAAAGCTCGCCACTGGAAGCAGAGCTGGAAATGCCCGCTCTYAATGAAAGAGATGTTTTTCCGTGATCCCCATTTTAGGGAATAGTTTCAAAAAACAAAGCTGAAGAGTTAAACTAAGCTCCTTAACAGTYTGATAAATATGTGCCCAGCTTCCAAATATATTCAATAGCCATTTGCAAAAATCTTATTTTCTTTCTATAGAGTGGCAAAACCACTGCAGGAAGTCCTGTCTTCAGAATATTATTGATATGGAGGTTCTTTTAAGACTATTCTTGTTGTTATGTTAGATATGATAAWGGCAATACATCTTTTTTTAGGAAAAATAAATACACATGCCTTTTGTATGTTACTAGCTGATTAAAAAGTACGTATTTTTCTACTGGAATTTTGATGTATTTTCTGAAACCACTGAGCTCTCTGCAATATTTTGAGTAAATGTTCTGTTGCCTCCAGAGGTATTCACCATGGTTAACTTGAACTCAGCAAGTTTAGCTTCAGTTAACTCAACTCCAGAGAGGAAACCCTAGTCTTCCTAGTCTTCCTCTGTAGCCCTCAGAGAAACTGGGAAGAAGCTCTTCCAGAYCACAGGGTAGAGAACCCAGGGTAGGATCCTACTTTTGGCTTATACCTGTGGAATCTGTTTGCATGGTTGATATAGGAAATCCTGAAAAATAAAAGGTCTTCTTAAAGTGAAATTGGCATTTATAAAACTCYGGTTAATATTTTCTTTTATTATCCATACATTTCCTCCTCTGGGTAGTAGTTTGGTGAATCATGATGGCAAAATATTGCATCCCAGTGTGTCTTGTGAAGTTTTCAGGTAATGCACTGCAAATTAAGACATTCCATTTCTACCTGAAAATAATAACAGCAAAAAAAAAACCCATGTATGCTAGCGTGCTTTCTGATTCTGCTTCTCTGCTCCTTTGCACATTTTTTACCCTGATGTAACTCTCCTCTGTGCCTTGCTTGTCAGTTGATAAGCARTGAGAAGAACGTAAATGGCCTGTGGCAGGAGGACTGTGTAACAGGCAGTAGCACAAAATTCAGTTTGACTGATGATTTTAGAATTACTTATTTAGAATCATTTAGTTGTATTTGGTTGATGAGGTCGATTATTGTCAAGTTAACTATTAACTATTATAGTTTTATAGTAAGACTGCAATTGCCCCCAAAAGCTAATGTTTGTTGTGTCAACAGTAGTAGGCAGTATTGGAAATAACCTAACAAAAATTTATGACAGCAAATAACTCTTTGTCTCTATTTGTCAGTAAACATCATCTTTTGAGTGATAACTATTGACATGAAGTGTTAYGTATTCCAGTCTCTAGAAATACTTAAATGCTTTTTTTTCCGCCACATTAATGAATAAAGCTGAAATTCATGAAATTTGTGTTTYAATATTTGATTTGTTATTAGAGAGTGTGGACCCCTGAAAACGTGAATCTCATCAAGCTAAGCCTGCCTTTGGCCTTCACTAATTGCTGAAAGAAATTTCCATGAAGACACCCACTTCTAGCTACAAAGTGAATTAAGGAGTGTGATGATCATTACAATTGGGAAGCGTAATCAGACGGATTCTTCCTGCAGATGTGRAGAGGTTGATTCGTAGTGGGTATCTGCAAACCAAGCTGCAGGATCCAGTTTGCAAACACTATTGCAAGACGAGCCCCACGGGGCTGGGATTGTAACCACAATTGTGAGGCAAACCCTGCAGGGTTTGCAGAGCTCCAGTTACTGTTATTGCTCCCACTAAGGCCTATTACCCTGTCAGGGAAAACGTAAGAAAATCCATCTCTCCACTTTGAACATGATAAGCCTTTGTCACCTACGGTGCAATTAATGTTAAAAATAGAAGAGCCCTACCATAGGATTGTGACTTGCAGGCAAAGGGCCCTTGTCCGAGTCCGGCGCTTATCCGGAGGGGCAGTCRGCCCCGCCGACCTGTCAGTCGGATGATTGCCGTTTCTCTCCGAGTTTGATGAAATATTCATGTCTTTGCTCTGCTCTCTGCGAGCGCTATTGATTTCTTGTATAAACGCAGCTATATTTAGTCTAGACAAATGGAATGTGGATCGCTGCTGAATAAATTGGATGAAAGGCCGGGGGGTTTTGCCCGTCCATTTCTCTGGGTCTGGGGCAATTATTTATAATCAAGCAGAGTTTTTGTAAGCTCAAGGTGATTTTTTATAATTTAGTGATTAGCCTTAGAACAAAAGTAAGCAGTTAGGCACAATCATTCTGTGGGGACAGCAGTTTAAGAAAGCGAATTATGCTTTGAGGTTTACCAAGAGTAAAAAAAAGTCAGCAAAATTCGATGTTTCCAGAATATTGACAAGAAAAGCATATGGCCAGATTTGAGGGCTCGTATCTTTCTTTTATGAAATTCATTGTTTATTTCATGCTAATAGATTTTATTGTGCAATTGGGGGTTACCTCTGTCTGCTGCAATTTCAACTTTAGCAGCTTCGCGGCTCCCGTTKGGCAGAGTTTTGTATTTTGTGTTGTTCCTGGAGAACAAGGACAGGTAAAAGAGAGAATAAGGAGAAAATATGGATCGAGTCTTGACTTCTGGTCATTTCACAGCACCATGTTTTTTTTTTCCAATTAATAATGGTAGTGTTTTCCTGTGGAAATAGCTGAATGTTTTTGTGTTCCACTGTCCTCTAGTGGATGGAATCATAGACTGCTACTGATTTTTTTTCTCTTTACACAAATGCTATTTCTTTGTGTTCTCTTTTTGTAACAGATCAAGATATCCACTATCCGGTTAATAAAAAGATTCAGGCTTTATATGTATTCTAATGAGAATCATCAAATCTCTCTCTCCACCTCTGCTTTTTAGTCCCTTGCACTTAAATMAAGAATTCTTCATTAACTTCTTCATTAACTATTTTAACGTTGGGTTAACAATATATTCCATTATTACAGCAAATTGGAGCAATCCTTTTTTAGCAAGGCCTTTCTCATACACTCCAAGCATAGGGCTCCCTTTCTAAAAAGCTATATTCAACTTTTAACTTTGTTTGTCCAGTTATTACTATCATTTTCTACGTGTTATTGCCATGTGTGTTTTCTAGAGACCTAGGTATATTTATTTCCTTAACCTGCAGTAGCTATGCAACATCCAGTTCCTGTTCATGTGTGATGTTATTCTCATATAACCTCTGTTCAAGGTAAACTCTCTTGCAGTCCAAGGAGAACTTCAAGTGAGAACTTGATCTTACATTGCAGAAGTACCCTGAGAGTTCACTGTTATGCATTAATAGTGCCTAGGAAGTTCTCGCTAAGGATTGCTCAGTTAGGCTGTGTCATGGTTTTAGAACTGGAGTTCTCAATAATCTGCTACAGAAAATATTCATCCGAGAATATTCTTTTTTCTAGAGAATGGAAGGAAAATGACAACATAGTTTGTAAAGTCTCAGGTGGCTTGTAGAAATATCTAAAGTTTGGATGTGGTATGGATTGTATTAATGTTTTTGTTAGTGTATATTGAAGGTGCTTTTAAATGAAAATAGCTTTCCCCAGTAGGAATTACCTCAGTTCTTCTGCAATTTTATATTTAAATATATATATATATATAAAAAATTTATGTATAGCTATGTATATATATATATTTGTTTTTCTCACACAGTGGATGTAAAGTCGGAAGTTCCCGTGGGATTAGAGCCTATCTCACCCTTAGACTTGCGCACTGATCTCAGGATGATGGTTCCCATGGTGGACCCAATTCTGCGCGAGAAGCAGCTGCAGCAGGAGCTGCTCCTGATCCAGCAGCAGCAGCAAATCCAGAAACAACTGCTGATTGCAGAGTTCCAGAAGCAGCATGAAAACCTGACCCGCCAGCACCAGGCCCAGCTCCAGGAGCACATAAAGGTAGCAACGTTTTTCATTTAGCCCTCAGCTTATCCATAAACTAATTATGTGTATAGGGCTGATGTGGAGGGACAGTATTGCTGAAAGATTTGCTGTGACTTAAGTGTGGAATTTGAAGGATTGCTAATCTGTATTTGGGTGATAAAAGCTTTTCCAAGYTACTTGCAGCAAGCCAAGGCAGTAGTATTGACTCCTCAGTTTCATGAAACCAATATACACAGAAGATTGAACTACCTATTTTTTAGCCAAATTTTCAGTCAGTGTCCACTATGGCTTTCTTTTCTGTATGTGCAATTTTAAGTATATTAAAAGATTGCTTTTTTGGCAGCTGATTGAGTGTGTGACCACAAATCAAATAGATAGCATAGTATTTACATCTATAAAGTGAAGATAGGCCCTGAAAATGTTGTGTTTTCACACTTCCCTGCACTATGTCCTATAATGTAAAAAAGAAAATGTTTTATGGGATTACATGTACAATGATAGGATTGCTGTAATGGATCTTGACTGGGAATTCATGATCTTGGCTATCTTTCTATTTTTTCCCTTTCGGAAAGGTCTAGTTGCTGTTATTATTACTGTTTTAAGATTCCGTTCAGTAATGCTGACAAATGCATTTGAGCACAGCAGCCAGAATTTGGTGATACACTGGCAAAAAGGGGGAACACTGGATAGTTTCAGTGCATTTGCCAAAAGAGAAGTGAAGCCACAGCTGCAAGCTGCTACCTGATGTAAGAGCTGACTTWACTGAGAAGTGATAATGCACTATCCCACTTGAAAGAATGGGAAAGTGGGTTAAGAGGTAAAAAGAAATGTAAGCACGAGTAAAAGTGCTGATACTCAGTTACTGAAGAGGTTTATTTTGGCCAGCACTGACCTACAAAGCAGTGCAAGCTGCACTTTCTCATGTCTTTTTGTTCTGTGCAAGTTACAACAGGAACTCCTAGCCATTAAACAACAGCAAGAACTCCTTGAAAAAGAGCAGAAACTGGAGCAGCAGAGACAAGAGCAGGAGCTGGAGAGGCATCGCAGGGAGCAACAGCTTCCGCCCCTCAGAGGCAAAGAAAGAGGCCGAGAAAGTAAGAGTCAATGCACCATGAATCCTAACAAGAAAGATAATGTATTCCCTTTACCTTCTCCCAGCTGGAGGGGGCAAAGAACAGGAATCTGAAGCAAGTTATTAACTGTGTGAACAGCTAGAGAAGTCAAAGCTGTGCTTGCCGAAAGAGCCACTGTTGCACCTACAAAAGCATATTATTTTGGCTGCAGTTTTGGAGAACTGTAGGAAAACACATTTTGACAGACCTGTAGATATGCCTCACAAGAATTTCTAGCCCTCCTTTTCRTGGAAAGACAGGGAATTTGAAAACCTCAGGTTTCACTTCACTTCTGTCTGAAGAATTTATTTTCTAATAGAGAGACACTACAAAACATCAATCTATATTGCTAATGAAGTAATTGGAACATTGTTTCAAGACTGAAATATAATAAAATATTTAAGAATATTTAAGAATGTCTTCAAACGAAGCATCTAATTTTTTACACTATTTGAAAAAACAATCCTGTTGTTTTTTCAGACTGCCATATGTTTATTCCTGATACCATTTCATAACACCTGACCAGTAGTTATTTCTAGCTCTCCCATAGCTCTAAGGCAAATGACAGAAATAAAGGATATTGTTGGAATATGATGCTCACTAGAGGGAGACAGATACAAATAGTTCCCTTTAGTGAGGTCAGTTGAAAAATCAGATTGTAGAAATACATTGTGAAGGTAATCAAAATGAAGCTGCCACAAGCAGATAGTGTTACTTGCCCTGATAAATGAGCACAAAGTATGAACTAAAAAAACACCAAATCAGAAAAGAACTGTGGATTATGCTCATAAGGGCATAACTTATACCTCTTTTTCTTTGGAGGCAAAATCTATATCAGCTGGACAGTAGATATACTACAGCTTGAGAACTTTAGAAATTAAGAGGCTTTTATTTCTTTGGTGAGCAATGACTCCATGAAGGCAACATCTAACTCCCAAACAGAACTTTCAAAGAACTTCCACTGTCCAGGCTGATGAGGGAGACCCCAAATTGGAACGCAGAACAAAAAAAATCCTAAAAGCATCATGGAAATCTGCCACTCTATAAGCATTTGGGTTTTATTAATGCTCCCAGCAAAGCAAAAGCAGCAGTGTGAACTCAGTGATTCCCGTTTCGCTCTGTGGCTGTTCAGTGAGTACCAGCCATCCAGGCAGCACTGGTGAACCTACTGGTCCAGCCCCGACACGTGCTGCTGATGTAGCTGAGTAGGGGAGGGAAGTGGATTCTGAGATGGGAGCTGAGGTCTGAAGCTGGGGCAGGGAAGAGGTTTTTATGGGAGCCAGATCACAGGGAACGTGCTGGCCAGCAAGTCTTGCTGTGTCAGGGTGGGGTTGGTTTGTAACACGGAATACTTACACTATCAGTCATGCTTAGTGCTGCTACTTCCCTTCTTTATCACTGTACAAGAAAACTGAACAAAGATGTGTTTTTGTTTTATGCTTCTTTACATAAAATATTATCATTATTACTAAAGAAACATGCCTAGTTCTGGAAGCAAGGATCAGCACTTCAAGCTGACATTGGTATGCTCTACTCATTCCACTTTATCAAGCTAGTCCCCAAGAGAGCTCAAAATGTGCTAGTTGTGTTCCAGTGTTGTGAGAGTAGAGTTATCAGCTACAGCTCATGTTTCAGACTGTGTTTCATTTTCCAGACTTTGCAGGTATGGGCTTTTAAGTGGCTTGAATAAAAAGATTCTCTGCTGAGTCTTTCTGTTGCGTTCAACCTGTAATCAAGCCAATATTCTGAAGGGAGACTTGCTGGTCTATTACTATTACGCTACTCAAAAAAACCCCATTCTTTGCTGCTAACTTGAAGTGACCTTTTGTCACTATCTTTTCAGTTCTATTGTTGTTTTTATATTTGGGAATTATTAGGAAATAATTTAAATTCTTTAGATACATCTGGCCTTGGATAAATGGCCTCATCTACTGCTGAAATACTCCTTATGACTTCACTCTGTTTTTGGATTATGGCCAACTTAAATATTCTACAGAAAAAATGTTTAATTCAGATGTTATCTCATTTTGACTGATTTCCACCAGTGCTTTTTATAGTTTACAACACTTTCAGCAGCAAGACACCGGTGTTCTTTTGTGTTTTGGTTTTTGTTTTGTTCAAAAATACCTTTTTCAGTGCAGATAACTCTTTAATTCTCTRTCTTAGGGGCAGTGGCCAGTACGGAAGTGAAGCAGAAACTTCAAGAGTTCCTATTAAGTAAATCAGCAACAAAAGACTCTCCAGCAAATGGAAAGAATCATTCCATGAGCCGCCACCCCAAGCTCTGGTACACGTATGTTCAGTGTTCAGCTGTTTCCTCGCCTTATTACTAAAACTGCATGTCAGCATGCTGCTCCAGCAGGGATATTGCAAGTCTGCCTTCAGAGGAGGTAGAAGTTCAGTCAGAAAGTTAGAAAAAAAAGCTAGAAGTATTTTTGGTAGACCTGAAGTGTAGTTCTGATCGATCTGGCAGGTTATTAGCTGAGAGCCACACAGAACCAGGTGGTGTCAGGAATTGGTATAAACTTAACTACTTCATCTCCTCAGTTCACTATCGTAAGTTTTCCAAGTATACCTGTTGRTTTGCCAGGTCTATTAAATTTTTGCATTTAGCCCAACTTTGTGGCTGATTGATTTTGGATCGAGCAAAGAATTTATTTCTTCTTGAAGATGTGCTGGCTTCTAGTGCAGTTATTGGTATAGTATAACTATGAAGGATTCGGAGGAGGCTGGTAGGTCACTTTTCTTACTTTAATGGATTTCAGTATTCAAAACTRTGTTCTGATGTTGCCTTGTTCTTGACAAGAATCTACTTATAACACTGAAACTAGTGTTTCAGTAATGGCTTTTTTAATGTTCTCAGGGTTTACGGACTTACTGCCTTGTTGCCTTCTGTATTGCAACTGGCACGTTTTTATCAGGCAATCYTACAAACTGAACTCTGGCTGCATTTCTGAAAGATTTCAGTGTGACCCCCAAATTGACTTGTAATAGGAAAAACAAAAAATATATGTAGATTTTGATCTAGTACTTGCTCTTAATTCTTGAAAAGAATTATTGAAGGCCTGCCCTTGGATTTTCCATTCTGAGCTAATCACAGCCTTGTGGTAACATGTTTTAATATATGCTTACATTGTTTATAGTGGAGATATATTTCCTAATAATTTCTTCCAAATACTGTGCAAGATTCTCTGGAGCATGTAAGATTTTTGGCCTAGTAGTGTGAGGTTAGCTCTGAGCCTTCAGATGAGTAAGAACTAGGAGCTCTGTGAAGGGATGTGTTTTACTACACAAGGGAAAGTAGTACTTCATCTCACATTAGTGCCTCTCTTTGACAGAGGTATATTATAATTTGATTAACCACACTGTATCGGAAAAAGACAGGGAGAGATTCTGCAAGAAGCCAAATAAAGTAATGCGTAGGTAAATGCAAAGTTTAAAAGTTTCTCTCCTTTCTCCTGCTTCCTCCACCAAATAAAAAATACACACACACAACTGTCTCTGGGCCAAATGATGCATTTCTTTTTTTTTGCAATTTACAGTTTCCATGTTTAAGAAAGGTCTGCCCACATTATTTCTTATGTTTAGCTGTCAGAAATAGCTCTTTAGTTTGGAACTTCTCTGCTGACATAAATGTTACATGTTTTGTCATGGYACAGTCACAAACCCTACCAACTAAACCTAAAGGTTTTAGCTTCCTTGTCCACTCCTGACTAAATAGTGTTTTTTTCAGGAGATGATAGGGGCTCAGTATTTTGAATTAGCTTTGTACAAGCACCCTGTCCCTGAAAAGCCCCTTGACTTCTTATAGAAAAGGCTGGATCAGTGTACTTCTRTTTGTACGTAATAAACAGGATTCAATAAATGGCTTTTGCTGTGCTTCAGCTGGTTCATATTAAAATGCAGCTATCTAAAATGGTCAATTCCCCAGTCTGGTGACAGATCCTGTCTGTAGGTCAACATGACTCTTATCCTRTGTGACTTTTATAATAAGTGCAAAAAGCACATTCTGGGGAATCCCGAGGAGTTCCATAACTTACTGTAAAAGTGAAATTGGTTACATGAGCCTGTGGTTTGTGCACACTTAGAGAGGCAAGAACATAAACACAGCTGAGACATGTGTACAGCATGTGTGGATAGTTACTGCTGGTCACCTCAGTGACTGCTAATTTGTGTGTGACCTCTCTGTGCCTGCTGCAGGGCTGCCCACCATACCTCACTGGATCAAAGCTCTCCACCCCTGAGCGGGGCCTCGCCACCATACAAATACACTTTGCCAGGAGCACAAGATGCCAAGGATGATTTTCCACTTCGTAAAACGGGTGAGTTAGAGTAAGTTTATCCAAACCCCTTACCCAGCAATTCTCCCACCTGTTAACGGGGCTGTCCATCAGTAGGCCCTTTCAGGATGATTCCCAGGGCAGGTTCAGAGATCCTCTGTCTTTGCCAGGTTAGATTGACCATCTGATGTCAAAAGCCAGTATTTCCCAACGCTAATAGCTAGAGCAATCTTCAATCCCGATAACCTTGGTTTCTAAATAGACTGACATTTCAGGGAGCCTTTATGGTATAATTTTCTTTTTCTGCAAGTTATTACTTCTCTGTTTAATAGCTCTTTCTTTTCCACGGAAGATACAGTAGCTATTTTCACACTGTAGGCTGCTTTTAGACAACATTCTTGCGGATATTTTCAGGTGAATTCATGGAAAGCAGAGAAGGTGGGTTAATGGAATATTTTGTGAATTCGGATGCCAAAGTCTGTTTGCACATGTGCGTTAACATACATATGGCCATGTTTATGTGTGTGTCTTAAATTCTTCATGTAGGAGTGTGCGTTTAATATTTTAAAAGAAAATACTCATTTGAACTTTTCAGAATATTTTAAAGCGTTTAGCAACTTAGCCTTATGTCTTGACAGCAGGTGAACTGTAAACTTGACATGCTCTGCACCATGAAGAATGCTAGAGGGATGGTGGTGGAGTCCATGTGGCTGTTGTCTTGGGCCCTTGTTGCAGTGACTGTTATCCAAGAATGGAGGGAGACACTAAGAGGGGAAAGGGAAAAAAGAAAAGAAAACATTAGATCTCTTATTGCCTCAGCCTGCTGTTGAGTGATACAGTTACATTCAGAGAGAAGGGTTGGCCCCCGACTGTGCTAACTGCCTTTGAATGTGATTCAGCCACTGGGAGATTGAAAACTTAACAGCAAAACTGGTACTGACTTGAAAAGAAGTGGTGTTTGGAGCCAGTATATATTCCGAAAGAAAATCCAGTCTGCATCTAATACTTCAGGATAGATTCTCTAGGCTCATATTATATCCCCAAATATTTCCAGAGGAATGAAAAAATGAAAGGCGAACTGCTAAGTTATTCCAGCGGATTTTTTTCCGTAAGACTTTTGTACAATATGGTGTCATTATAAAAAGATTCTATAACATAACGTGCAGGCTGTTCTGTCGCAATACACCTTTCTGCAGCTTTCTGCTTAATAGCATGGTAAAAGTTATATTTTCTCTCTCACTAAGCTAACATCTTGATTTTTAAAAACAAAAGGATACGCCCTTCATCTTCTTAATGTTGTGAGTTCATCTACATTTTTTTGAAATGTAGGTTTTAATTTTTCCCTCATGTTTACATATCTTAAATATTATGATTGATATTTATGATGTGTCACACTGTTGATCTGTAAAACAAAACATTTTCAAACATTGTAACAGTAAAGTTCTCTTGCAGCTGCTAATACTTTTATATCTCTGTGGGGGTTTCAAAATATTCCTTAATTCAATTCCCATTGTCTGCATAAGAGGACTATAATATAATTAAAACCAGATGTTTTCTATATGTTATTCCAAATATTTGGGCATGCAATGCATCAGTTACAAAATTGAACAAAGGACATGATGACTCTCTGAAAAGATGTCTGCAGAATAAATAGACAAATAGTAATATAGTCATTAGCRTAACTGTTTTTATGACATGAGCAATAATTAATGTTTTTATATAGTGATTCCGATAAGCAAATAGAAATGAAGTGTACAACATGTTGCGTGTTAGCAAGGGACTGTACTTGATAGCTCTCTGCGTCAGTGAAAATAGTAACCCTGTTAAATATCCTGTTTACACATTCGGTCTCTCTCATGCTGGAGTGGCAATTCCAGCCTTCAGCGATATCCCCACAAAGGGTCCAATGATTATTCACCAGGTTGAGAGTAAAAGCAACAGGAACCAGATCGACATAAGTCAAATGACCTTAATCTGATCTGGGTGGTTACAGGGCCATCCTCCAGGCAGAGGGGACATTGTGGAGCCTCCGTCATCCTCATGGGACCTCACTACACAAAGATGTCCCACGAACACTCGTCCACGGGGACAGGCTGCAAGCCTGCAGAAATCTGACCTTTGCCACAAGGGTGAACCTCTTTTCCTTCCCTTTGGGCTATGAATGCTTGTCGCCACTGGCTCCTGGCGAGCCCGCTGTGACGCTGGACCTGCGTGAAGCCAGCAATTCATATGAAAGTAAACCTTACATTCCTTTTGGCCTAGAGAAAAGAATACCTATGGAAGACTTCAATCACACTTTTGCTTTGCTTCTCATTTCTGTTTCCCATTTTCATAGCATAAAGCATGTAAATGGCTTCTCCAAATCTAATATGGTGCCCTCGGAAGATTATTCTGATTGGATCGGTTGCTTTAAGATCAGATTTAATGGGAAGCAAAATTGAATGATTTGCTTCTGACATCTTGATGTACTAAGGGAACACCAAGTGTCACAAAGGAATTGTAAATCTTGAGTCGTTCTTTCTTACTTTCTTTTTCAGTAATCTATTTAATCTTCACTTAATTAGTCCTAAAGTGGCCTCTCCTTATTAATATTTTTAAAATGAATTCAAATAGACCATAGTAAAGAGAAAATACTCCACACAGCTTCTACTGTTACTCTTCCAGCATCTAGAGTAATGCGATACACAGCTACCTGGGGAAATGCTCAGAGCCTTGCTGTTTGTGTGCTTAAAGTTAGGCACCAGGGTCAACATATTAATGCAGTGGTGGTGGTTCCTGCTCACCTCCCTCAGCCTTGTGGATCAGAGCTTTCCTTACAAGCAGCAGCAGACCTTGTCAGCAAGAGGCCTCACGCAGCTCGGCTGCGCAGAGCGCTGGGACTGTCCTCGGGGCTAGAGGCCAGGGTAGGCAGCTCTTTGCACAGCTGCATTCAGATGCTCTGTGTTGACAGACTTTCAAAAAGCGCAGAGCAAAGGGAGCTATTGCTTCACTGGACGGAGAAATATACCATGAGGGGAAGCTGTACATCTGTAGTGGAGAGCACAACTTGGCCTAAATAACGCAAGATTGGATTTTAAAGGTGCCCTAGACCTCGCCGTGGATACCCGTTATAATGTGTGAGGTTTGTGCAACGTGCCCAAAAGCCTGAGCTGCACATGTCTCATTAATTTTCAATGAGACTCCTGCTTCAAAATTACCCAGAGAGGTTTGGAAATTCCTCCYGGTTACTGTACACTTTGGAAATTCGTACTGACCGTTGCAAGAGCTCTAATGGGAACTGTGTGCTTTTGAAAACCTGATCATGTAATGTGAGGTACTTTTGATTGCTGATGTCCATAATTCTGTATCTATCTGGGAAAATAGCTGTTTCACGAGGCTGCTATAAAATTGGAAAAAAAAATGTATCAAACCACATGGGTTTCATAGGACAGGAGGCTTTCTCAAAGAAAACTTTTTTTACCTTGTTGAAATAAATGCAGAAATGTTCTGGCAAAGGGCCAAAATGTTTGCATTTCTCGAATCTGTAACATTTCATTTTCTGTGTGCTAGTGTTGATGCAAACCAGCAAAAGCCAGTAAATTCCAATAAAGGTTAACTCTCTCACTGAAGCTGTATGCTTTTTAAAAATCTTCCTATAGATGGAATTTCTGCATTTTTTTCTCATATTTTGGCTTTTGTTGGAAAAAAATGCCTTAGGATGTCAGTATGTCAAGTATAAACTTTTTCTTTCATGAGTTTAGCACAATCACAATAGAATGGTAATGTCGATCAGTATTTCCATTTATTTTGATTTCATGCCAGTTGGCTCTTTCTTTGCTCATGGACTTGTAAGCTTACAACTTGCTTTTTGTTTGGAGATCAGGCAGGATGGTACTATTTGAGAACTTACTTCCCAAACATGGGAAGAATGTGCAATGGAAATATGGCAAGGCTGTTTCAAGTAGTGTGAGATATGTGCTTGAAGGGGGAAAATTATGTAATTTCATACAGGGAAAAAAAAAAAAGAGGAGATGAAGGATTGTTTAATATTGTGATGAAAGAGAGGAAGGAGGCTGTGCTGCATAACCGTGAAGATCACTTTGTAAAAATTGCACCAGGTTAACCTGATTAGGCAGTAGAATAACAACATAGCTCTTGTGTAATGGGAATGAAAGATTTCTGAATGAAAACTCAGCAAAAGTAATTTTTTTTTCAAAGATATTAATTAGAATATTTCCTTACCATCATTCTTTCTGCACTCAGTGACTCACTAATCTACTGGAGCAGTTGAAACTGAGAATAAAAACATTTTGTGTGTGAAAGTTTTTCTCCCCTTCCCTTCCGAGACCCATATGCCATTTAATTCCATTTCTGTCTACATTTTCTAGGAAAACACTCAAAAACACTCTCCTGAGAAATAACAGTGTATGAAAAAACTGAATTGCTGTTGATATTGAATGAAAAAAGTTGCTTAAGAAGATCACAAATCCTCTATTCTGTCATCCAAAATGAAGAATTCAAACTCAGTAAAAGAGATGCTTTGATTTTCCACTTTATAAGTTTTMTAGTTCCTAGCTTGCAAACAAGCGCAATAAATAGGAGAGGCACTTCGGTTATCAAAGCAGGAAAGAGAGCAAGCACGATACAGCTAACACTTCATACCATTTTGTTAGAGGTGCTAAACGTTCCTGTTCCTTACAGTCATTGGTTGCTCAGGTTTATGAACAATCTTGGCTAAATTGGAGTGGATGATTTACCCAAAGGAAATCACTAATGCTTGTCACAGAACTTGAAAAGAATAATAATAATAATAATAATAGTTAAAGAGAGGTTTCCTTATTCCCAGTCCCTTTTCTTCAAGACTTCTCATTCAATATAGCAACTAATTACCAGGTAGACTTTTTAGCCTTCTTGAATTCACCATCAATAAATTGAGAGGGCCCAGTTAGTAGTAAGACTTTTGAGAAAGAGAAGAGACTTTCACTTGTAATTAAAGAATAAATCTGAAGCAAACTGATGTTAACAACTTCTTCCGGATTTATGTAATGAGCAGACAAAAGTAG